TTTCTGCGTAAAACATAATACATACTGTGTACAGTGGGACAGACAGCAGCTAAGCCGTGACTAAGTTGTTGCTGGGGCTGCTGGTGCTGCTGCTGGCCAAGTTAAAGCCGGTGGGAAGGTTACAAAAAGTCACTTTAAGCCAGCTCCAAATGGTTTTTTAATAACGGACCTTGGCGGGGCGCGGTCCATGTACAAAAAATTATTCACTTTACAGATAATAAGATTGGATTGTTCGGTCTTAGAGGAGGGAACCAGTTATGAAATTTAAATTGCCATTTGCTGTATGAGCTCATTAATGTAACCCATGTTTTTGAATATATCATTTTTATTTCTCGGAATATTGTGGGAATTACTTTAACGTAAATTCCAGTTTCTATTTTACATTATCATCTCTCATACAACGTGTTTCATTAAGTGTTTTTGTCTATTTTTAGATTTTTATAGTTTTGCATAGTCTTTTTCAAGTCCAAACTTTGTTTATAAATTAGTTATAAATGGAAATACAAGTTTTCTTGCTCCACTTTTTGTGTATTTTGTATTTTTGTTTTGTTTTAATTTATGAGATACATTTGGCATAAATTTTCACTGAATATTTTGTTGTTAGAGGGTGAATCCCCCATTTATTGGTAGCAGCAGAAGTCCCTTATTAGCCATTCAAGCCACTTCGTGTTGTTGGCTTTCTTTCTCCGCCAGGCCCCGGCAACATTTATCAACATTTTTACCCCGAACAAGTTATGTATTAGATCATTATCCGCATTTGGATTTCTGACGAAATTTCGCATTGTCTGCAACGGCGCAGAAAAACTTCAGCTGCTCCGCTCGCTCGCTGGCTCCGCTTGGTAACAAAAAAAGAGGGCAAAAAAAGGAAAACATACTCACCGTATACAATCCGTACAAATGTAAAGAGAGGAGCGAAAAAGTTCAGCTCGACGAGCCCTCGGAATATTTACTGGGTTGATAATAAAATGCACGCGGTTGAATGTAGTTTTTGCCCCGGGTTGTCCCTCAGACAGCCAGCCTGCTGCTACTCATTGTGGCAGGGAGTGACTCATGGATCGCCTTGTGCTACCTAAGCCAAGTCCAGGTGCACTGAGAGAACTATCTATTGTTTTAAATTCTGTAGAAACCAATTTCAGCATACTGTATAATACAATTTAATTATTAGTATGAATATTAGTTTTACCTTATAATTCTCAAGTTATTTTTCAGTTTAAATAATTATTATTATGTATCATATCATATCATTTCATATCATATCATATCATACCATATCATATTTTTATTTGTCATATATTCTTTTTTGTATCTCGAATCTTTTGTATCTTGGATCTTCATAATTCTCAAGTATTTTTTTTCGCACAGTTACTAGGTTTATATCTTACATTTGTATCTCCCTATTTGTATCTTCATAATTTTCAAGTTAAACAAAAATGATCGTGTTATAAACCATATTTTCGACTAAAAGATACTTATATGTATCTTTATTTTTTCGTCAGTGCATCCTGTTCCTCTTGTTAATCCCAAGTTCGGTTTATCTGCCGTTTCAGTTTTGTATTTCCATTGAAAAATTTTGTTAGCTGTCCGTCGTCTCATGCGGGTCTCTTGGAATCTGAAGTTGAATCTTGAGTTCAAGTCACTCTTTTGTGTATTTCATCATAGTCGTAAATACATATGCATACACCTCAAAGGTGGCTTTCGGCGAAGGCATCGGCGACGACTCACTTCGGTTACGGGGTAAAAAGTAATAATTATCAGCGGTTAAATGCGAACGATCGTGTCATACTTTTACACTCCCCCTGGGTCCGTCAGAATTTATTGATTACTCATATTTATCGTACGATAAATCGCCGGCAGCACGTGCCGCACACGGAGTCGTGCATTAAAAAGTATCTTTGATCGCAACTATAAGTATCTGCATCTACATATAAGCGTGTGCAAATTACCGTTAGACGGCCAACGGTGCATACAAATTATGGGGGAGTCCAACTATATAATTTAAACAGAATCGCCCCGGCATTCGGATTTGTATTCCAGCTAAGCACTTGACTTTTCAATATTTAATTCTTGTTAAAAAGCTGCAATTTTTGACTGTTTGCTATTGTCTCTGTGGGTCACATTTCCGGGAAGTTGTTGCCGTTGCCTTTAATATTTTCCCATCCATCCACATTTATTTTTTGGGGAGGGAAAAGTGAAAATATATGCACTGTTAATTGCTTGGATTGTTCGACAGTTTTGGTTATTTGTTTGTGTATTTGATTAGGCGCCCAAATACATACTGGTAGTACATGTGTGTCACTCGTTGTCGTTGGGTGATTAACACGAGGGAATTCCATGGAAAATGCTTAGGCTGTGGGTCGGAGTACTCTATGATATTGGCCGATAAGTAGTAACCATCACCACCACCACCCTCTGGGTACCAGGAAACTCTAGTTATATAGAGGCGTCAGTCGAGCAATCATTGTTCTAGCGAATTTCCCCCACAAATCTATATGGGCTTGGTTTTTATTCTTGCAAAATTTCTGATTGCAACTGCGGCAGGATTCTAGGAACTGATAAATGAAATTTCCGAATAAGCCTGGTCCCCGATGTACACGTTGATTACATTTCACCATGGGCCGCCCGAGCGACCGTTCACTCGAAGTAATTTTAAATTAATCGCTGCGATAAACAATCTTGTTTAAGTTCACATAAAGCGATTCTAATCGTTAGCAAGAATATAGAATTTATGATCAAAATATCGATTAAGTACATGGGAAATTGAGATGTTATCTATAGGCTATATAATTTTGGGTGCTGAGTTCAGGGCAGACTTTTAAATTCGGCATAGATAAGGGGCGTCATAAAGTCTTTGATTTATACATAATTATTTAGAAAACCATCAAGTTGGCGGACAAGTCAATGACATGAAATTCATTAGTACTACATATGAATTATGGCTTTAAGTGAATTTCTGAGAATTTGCGGGTAATTGATTTAAATATTACTTTAAATGTCGTTTTTCAAGGAACTCGCCTGGAAATTTGTAAAAAAAATGTCGATGAACTTTGCTTCTTGAGAAACATTATTAATATTTTATATTTATGTATATTTATATATTTAAACGAAACTAACTTTCCCTAGAACTGTTGTTCGATTAATTTAAATATTATTTTAATTGTCTCTTTTTCAAGGAACTTGCCTGGAAATTTGTTTAAAAAATATCGAAGAACTTTACTTATTGAGAAATATTATAAATATTTAATATTTATATATTTAAACAAAACTAACTTTTCCTAGAACTCGTGGGAAATATTATTTTAGAATGTCAAGCTGTTGTTTATTTACCATTGAATTTTTAGAAAGTCGTGTTCAAAATAAATTCTCTGTACTTAAGTACTTGTTTACTTGTTAAAATTTATTATACATTTTTCCAATTAAATTATAATTCCTGGAATCTCATGAATATTAAAATATAGCGCAATAAATTCGGACTTTAGTTAGAAATTTAAATAGGGGAAGTGGCAGTCATTACCGGCATTATTATGGCCCATCCATGACTGATCACTGATCGTTCAATCAGAAAGGCTATAATAGCTGGTTGGTGATCTAATTATTTCGTCATTGATGGTATAAAAAAAACCCACCTGAAGTGCAGAACTCACAACGTTGGACTCATCGTGCCAATTTCTGGTTACTACCAAGAATTTCAACCGCCAACGGATGTGTGAGTCATTTCCAACCTGTGCTGTGTTGTCATGTGTACCTTAGTTCTCCATTATATAGCCCCCAACTTCCGAAATAGAAGGTGTGTGACGCATTTGCAAGATGTGCTAGCGATAAGGATTCGCGGGTAACTCAGTTACTCAGCGAAATAGACGAGCCCTCCACCAATTAATACGAATTTATCAGTGAATAATAATAATCCCTCAGTAGATTTTCCCAGAATGAGAGCTTTCTGTCTCGGGGTTTCCGATTTCCTAGCCCAGCCAAGATAAGCTTGACCCAGAAGCTACGAGAAGATGGAAATACGATTACGTGGGGGGCTACGTGCCAGGCATGGAGTGGTCATATATATGTAGTACTTGTGTGTTTGCACATGGATTTCATCATCTCATTACGGGCGAGGGTCTAAAAATAGGATCTTAGACCATTACAATTTGGTGTGTACTTAGCGGGAGGAGAACTGATGCGTGGGATTGGAATGCCAGGCCTTTGTTCATCACCAGATGAATCCACTCCTCCTAGTTTTCCTTCTTGGGGGATGACTCAGTTCGTGGGGGAGCTCTCGCCGAGAAGATCAACAGGGACACGGAAAGAAATTGTGACATTAAATGGGGTTTAGTTGTATTTTAAATCAATCTAAAATGATAAGTATTTTCCTGACAAGACAAAGTATCTTGTGGATACTTTCTAGAATATCTATGTGTATTTTAAAATATCTAAAGTAATTTTTAAATAGATAACAATTTTTTTCCAATGTAAAAGATCGCTGGGAGCTCTATGCTTTAATAATTACTTAGACAATAGCCTTTAATTACCCATTTGACCGAGCAAGTGAGTGAGTCCCAGTCCCTTATGCCAACTCCTCTCCTCTGAATATGAGTAATTAATGCACCCATGCTCTGGTGAAGCCCCCAGCCAAGTGACTCTGGGATCTTTGCTGTAGGTCAAGACATTATTTCACACGAACAGAACCCGTTTCCCCCCGCTACTATTTCTGGATATTGTGAAATATTCACAAGGGAAACATTGTTAACTAAGCTAGTCAATAATTAAATACAATATTATTCCCAATCTTACCTAATGAAAGATATGCCCAAAGAGAAAATAACCCCATTATGAAATGTATTGTAAGGTCAAATATCCTAATATTTAAGTAATAAAATTAAATACTTTTTAGATACAAATGAAGTTCATTTAAAAAGTTGTTAAGTAGTTACAAATCTATAATAATTTTTTTCTAGAAACCAATAACAAGTACCTTAACTAATCTTTATTTTTATATACTTTATCCTTTCCAGAAAGCACAAAGGAAACCCATCAGAAATAAGACTCTGCTCTCACTTAGTGCTTCCAATGGGTCATCACTTCAGCAAGCCCATTGTACGAGCCAATAGCCAGGATCAGAGACACAGCCCAAAAGCAGCCCCAGCAGCCATCGTAGAGGCTATTGGCCTGGACGAGGAGGAGCTCCAGGTGGAAGAGTTCCTTAGCGAGGACACCGCCGCATCGCAGTCAGAAGTGCGTCAGATTATAATTAAAATTCAGTTGGCCAAGATGGAGCAGCCGGTGGAGGAGCACCAGCAGTCGGAGGAGAACCAGGTAGCCGCCACATTGTCTGCGGACGCGCTAAATGCAAATGGACAACAGCGGATCGTGAACGTAACGCTGGAGAGGGGAGCGGGGGAGGGTGCCACCGAGGAGGTGGGTGTGGTGGGCAGTTCAGCGGAAGCGCCAAAAAATAACAATTTCGCGGGAAGCGTCGGCGCTGCGATTAGTACTTTACAATTGCACGATGCCAACAGCAACAATTGCCATGAGGAACAACACATAGCCGCTGTGGGAGACGGAGAATCCCGAGAGGGAGCCGACATCAACAACGACTACGACGACGACGACGACGATGTGGTGGATGAGTCGCTGCTGCGTCGACGCCGGAGCAACAGCCACCAACACAACGACAACGAAGCCGAAGCCGTTGAGTACTGCGAGGTGCTAGAGTCGCTGCCAGTTAGCAATATGTTGTCGTCGGCGACGCAACACACGAGCAAGCAAGGTGGGCAAAAGTTCAGAAATAATTCAATTCCAAATAAATTCAAAGAGTGAAGCTCCTACGCTCTTTTCGGTGAATTAATGCACAGCGAAAATAATCAGTGAATATTTTGTTTACTCGAAAATGGTCTCAATTATTGCAAAAAGTCTTCAATGAATTTAAATCACTATTAAAAACCCATGGTTATCAATTTACAGAGAAAGAGAGTCTTATCAATTTGTGATTTTGGGCTATAAAAGCCGAGTGTCAGCTTGCTGTCTGTATTATTTAAAAATTAAATTGCTTGGTGAATGGATCGGAGTCTTTAATTCGGAATTAATATTAAAATTATCTCTGATCTCTACTATCAGTTTGTGATTTTTGCCTATAAAATCAGAGTGTCAGTTTCGAATTTAAATCAATTGTGACAAAAGCAACGATGAGAAAAGATCCGGTCTTGAATCAAATTAAACAAAAAATTATTAAACACTGGACCAAAATACGTGGTAATAATAATAAGAAATATTAAACTAAAAAGAACAGAGGAGTGTCTTACTTAAATTAAATTAAATGAGTTTTGATGAATTTAAATCAAGTTAAACATTAAAAGTCAAGCAAATGAACAATAATTTTGTGTTAATTAATAAAAATTAGATCAAAGAATATTATAAATTAAAATTTCAGTGTTTAGTTAGTTAATAAAAAACTGAAAATCAATGTATTTAAATGAATATCAAAGTTTTTAAATGTTTTTAAAGAAAACCAACAATTAAATATAAAGTTCGAATACAAATCTAACAAAAATCATATTTATTATAATAAATAATCAAGAGACAATTATTCTATGACACCAAAAATATACCTACACAAAAAACTTTAAACAAATATGTGTTTAATCTAAAAAAAAAATGTATTAAAAATATAAAACTTTTAACTAAACCAAATTCGCAAAAAATACACCACATACTTTTTCGCTGTGCATTAAAAAAATTTAAACGCCGAAATTAAAGAGAACTTTAGACGCTGCTCTTTCTCTTTGAACAATTTTCAAGTGAAACCCAATTAACGAATGATTGTTTTTCTCCGAAATCAGGTTCCAGAAACACCAATAATAGCAACAGTTGCTGCCGCAGTCGCAGCAGTAAGACACTATCCATGGGAGCAGCCGCATCCTCCTCCTCCAGCGCCGCCGCCGGATCGGCGGCCACATCCTCCAAGCGGCGCTGCTGCAAATGCAAGTGCCGGGATGCCTTCCGTGGACTCAGAGACATGCTGCCCACATCCGGTGGCAACAGCAGCAGCAGCAGTTCCGCTCACAACAAGAAGGAATCTTCAGCGGCACCGGTGGCGACTGTTTCGCGGAAATCCCGGACAGCGGATCGACGTTCAACGCCGCCCACGCTGGGTGCCTCAAGCGGCGCCACACAGCACCGATTGCAGAGCCAACGGAAGCGCAACTCGGTGGCTGTGCCTGATGCAAGCCATCAGCACCACCAGGTTATCATACGGATTACATCGCCAGGCTTTGTGGTGGAGTCACCCGGTGGCGGCAGAGTGACTGTGATCACCGAACCTGCGCCGCTAACGCCACTGACTCCGCCCCAGACCCGACCCTTGACAATGGCATCCGTGTCCAGCGTTGGTCCCCGCAACCTGACAGTGCACTCGCAGATCGATTTTATGCATTGCCTGGTGCCCGATCTGGAGAAGATCACCAACAGCAGCTTCTACTGGGGCAAGATGGACCGCTATGAGGCGGAGCATTTGCTGGAGGGCAAGCCGGAGGGCACATTCCTGCTGCGCGACTCCGCCCAGGAGGAGTTCCTTTTCTCGGTCACATTCCGCAAGTACGGCCGATCGCTGCACGCCCGCATCGAGCAGAGCGGTCACAAGTTCAGGTGAGCATCGTTATCTCTACCAACAGGCGTCACTCATTAAAGTCATTGCACCTTCGCTTAAAATATAATTATATATTATAGTAACGTATTAAAAAACGTATTAAATATAGATTGAAAATGAATTCTCGGAATTTAGATTAAGTCTCGAATGAATGAAGGAATTTCAATTAATCATTTGATATAACCTCGCGACGTTTTTGAACTTTATTTCCGAGAATTTTATAGAATGTTCATCTGAGACAGCTCGGGGATTTGAGACACATGTCTATATTAGTTCCTGATTTACTGGAAAGAAAAAAACATTATTCTTTTTTTATTGGGCAGTAAAGTTAAATGGTTTTTTTTATATAACATTTTTAAATATTGGAAAGATTCTAGAATTCTTCTTTTGAAAAGGTGACCTCAAGTCTGTAACAAGTTTAAAACTTGTTTAAGTAATTTTAAAAATTTCAAAATTATAAGTAAATAATTTCAGTAGAATAATATTTAAAGGAGTCAGGAAGATGTCTCATTAAAAATGAAATTAAAAACCAAGCCAAACTCACAATCTTTCTTCCTCTTTTTACAGCTTCGACTGCCACGATCCCTGCGTGTTTACGGCGCCCACGGTAACCGGCCTGCTGGAGCACTACAAGGACCCCGCCTGCGTCATGTTCTTCGAGCCCTGCCTCACCATACCCCTCCACCGGCGCCAGACCTTCTCCCTGCAGCAGCTGGCGCGAGCCACCATTGTCTCCAATACAAGCTACGATGGGATCAATCAGCTGGAGCTGCCTGGACGGCTGAAGAGCTACCTCAAGGAGTACCATTACAAGCAGAAGCTGCGCGTCAAGCCCATCGACCAGAACACCCCAGTGCCGTACTACGGCGATGTATAGCGGGAGGAGCAGCAGGTGGGCTTCACCTACTACGAGGATGTGGAGAGTGCCAGCGAGGATGATGACGAGGACGATGAGGGTGTCAATATACGGGTGTCCTATGTCCAGCATGCCGAGGTGGTGGCCCAGCTGCAGCAGGCCACCACCAATCAACCGCCAGCAGCTCCCCGTCGAGCCTTTCATCTCCAGGAGCAGCTCAGCCGGCTGCCCACGCGCATGGCAGCTGCCTTGGGCCGGATGTCGGCCAATCTCAATTGCTATCAGCCGGCGGCCAGGCTGGAACGCCGCACCACCTGATGAATGAGAAGCCGTAGGAAGAACAGAAACCAGAGAAACCAAAACTCAACCTGAGACAATCCCAGTGCATCGCAGCCACCATAAACATAAGCTACAAAAAGAGCCCAAAAAAATCCGTAAATATCGCTCACTGTCCCGGAAATCCCTTACCAACTTCTCAGAGAGGGCTAGGACCTCTCGATTTGGGAGTGAGCGATCGCGACTAGCTAATTGTACTATAAACTAAGTATTATTACCTAAAGCAACAACCCCCCAACTCTCCCTACAATGATAAGTATTACAAGTAATTTTGTAATTTTTCGTTGTATTTATTTTTATCAATTACGGAATCTAAATTATTGTAAATATAATATATATCTATATATATTTCAAGTTAGCTGTAAAAACTCTCTCATTAGCCAAGTTTCCAATTGTAATTTTTCACCTATTTATATCACGTATTTTATTTATTTATTCGAAGTGATTTCGTTACCATGCGAGTGCTTTGTTTCTATATCAGTTATACACGTGTAGATCATTTGTAAATATAACTACTAGCTATATATAAATATATATATATATTTAAATAATTAAAGTATAAATCATGTATTCCTACCTAGGTGGTTTCTGTTATTCGTAAACATTCAATAAGCAGTTGTTCCCAAAATACCAATTTTAAATGTATTTTACATATCCAAAATGTTGATGAGCATGAAAATCAATATTACCAAAACAAAAATAAAATACAAAAAAATACAATTTAAAAAAACAAACATAAAAATAAAAGCCAAACAAATAAAGTTGAACAAGATATTAGCAAAAGTAACCTGGATTTTTTAATTTGTAATTTATATTTGCGGGGTTTTCACTGCTTCGAAAAATGTTTGAGGCTTGGAAAAAATTATAAATAAATAAATAAGGTGTCAAGCTATGCTAGTAAATTGTACATTAAATAATACAAAAAAATTGAACACTGATTTTGGACCTCAAAATATTAACTGCATACTTTTAGGCAATCTGTAAAAGGATTTCTTGTTTGAAATTCCATCAGGTTTAATGCTCAAAATATTCTTATTTAAAAACCAAAAAACTCCAATCTTATTTTTGCAATAATCTCTTTATTTCAGTAAAAATTAATAATCTCAATTGAATGTTCGGGTTCTACATTATCTGCCTGAATCCCTCTTGCCCATCCTTACAACTTGGCATTGACATGGATGGCCAGGACACCATCATCCTCGGAGTTACCAAGATAAATGGATGCACGTCCATCGGAGCCCACGGTCACCGTCTTACCGGTGCAGGAGGAGCCGTTCTTGGTGCCAGAGATGACGTCACAGTAGGTGCCGGCGGGCAGGCCCGTCTGCAGGGAGCTGTTCAGGTCGTAGTTGTCGTTGTTGAAGGCCACGAAGCCACGGCTGCCGCGGCTGAAGGCGATCTGGTTGCTGCCGTTGTCCCACCAGTTCTGGATGGCGTCGGAGCCGACGGCGTTCCTGAAGGCCACCATGTTGTAGATCTGGCGCCAGCGGTGCTCGCACACCCAGCCGCCGCTGCAGGAGTTGTCGCTGTTGAAGCTCGGCGAGGCGATGTTGTGGCCGTCGGTGGTGGGCGGGCCCTGGTCCGTGTCCGAGAACGAGAAGGAGGACATCACGCGCGGCGTGCCGAAGGGGTGGGCCAGCATGAAGGCGGAGGCCATCCTGTACTGCTTGGGCACCTTGTAGGTGAGTACGTCGGCGCCACCGGCTCCATGTCCGCGCTGGTTGTCATGGTTGTCGACGAAGACGAGCGAGCGGTCGGAGGCGGCGAAGCCCCAGGCGGTGCCCCAGTTGGACAGGTACCGCAGCTGGTTCTTGCCACGGAAGGCCTTGCCGATGGAGTCGGAGTGCCGGAACTCGGTGATGGCGCCCAGGCCAGTGTACTCCGACTTGCTGATGGCCTCGCCACCCATGTCGATCACCTCCTGCACGATGTAGGCCTTGGAGCCCGAGGAGAAGCCGTGGTCGGTGTTCAGGTTCTTCAAGCGGCCATAGATGACGCCCAGATCAGCGGGCCACATGTGCTTGGCGGCGTCCACGCGGAATCCAGCCACTCCCAGGTCAATGAGGTGATTCAGGAACTCGGCAATCTTTTCCTGAACATAGGAGTTGCCCTGGTTGAGGTCGCGGAGACCCACCAGCTCGCAGTTGCGCACTTGGTTGGCATCGTTGTAGTTGCTGATGGCGCAGGTCGGGTTGAAGTCCAGCGAGGAGTAGGGCACTCCGGGGTAGCTCTTGCTGCTGGGACTGGCAGTGCTGCCGCCCGTGCCGTAGGTGCCTCCGTTGGCAGCCATGTGGTTGAAGATCACGTCCACGTAGATGCGCACGCCGACGGCGTTGCAGCGTCGGGTCATGCTGGCGAACTGCTCCTCGTTGCCGGAACGGGTCACGAGCTTGTAGGAGATGGGCTGGTAGCGCTCCCACCAGGGGCGGCTGTCCTTCACGGCATTCTCGTTGACGGGGGAGACCTAATGGGGGCTTAAGAGTTAGAAATCCCTTCTAGAGTAGAGCCAGAGCGATCTTATCCCTACCTGCACTCCGGCAAAGCCATTGGGGCCCAGGAAGTTCTCGCACTCGGCGGCAATGTCGTCCCACTTCCACTCGAATAGGTGCACCATGCCGCTGCGTCCTGAGGCGTAGTTGGTGTCGAACTGGGCGCTGGCCAGCGCCAGGATGGCGAGGGACACGATGCTCTTGGTCAGAAACATGTTGATTCTAGAAGGAACTCAAGTTTCACTCTGATTCTAAGTGGGTCGTTGCAGCTCCTTATATAGGGGGTCTATGTCTCATTGGCTTCGCGGGAGTGATTTTGGGCTCCGCGGAATCTTATCGTGGCCCAAGGCGATTCCTAATCGATGCCCGTGCAGACGGACTGACTGGAAGTAGCTGGCATTATTGGCGTAGATGATTAATTAGATTAGTGGCCTGATTAGCACGTATTTATTGTTATTTGTGTATCAGGAATATGTACATCGGGACAGTGCATTCCTTTGATATAAGGGATTTATGGGCCACTCGAGCACTCACCTTGCATGCTGTCTGAGGCGTGATCGGTGTGAACTATGCTCCTTGGTGGTCAGATATTTAACTTAAATTTAACTAGGGAATGCAAGTTGCTTGGGGAATCGTTTTTTAATTATTTTGATTTAAATCTGATATACTTTTGGATATTATACTAATAACAAATATTTAATTCGATTCAATTAATATTATTAATCATTATTATTTTTGCTTTTATAAATCTGTTAAGTCTTTTAGTCTGGTTTTTCTATTCCTAGAAACTTTGAAATTTTCATGTTCTGATTTTTTTGTATATTTAACTAGATATTATAAATAAAATAAGAAGGAAAACAAGTATAAATAAATTTGCATATTTACTTTATTATTTATATTTTCACCTTTAATATAATTAATAAATTAATCATTTAATTTTAAACGGATTACCTGTTTAAATTATACTCGAAATTTACATACTTTGAGGTACTTTGGTTTAAGAAACCCTTTATATTTCATAAATTATGTGTTTTATTGGAACCAAAAATAAACAATATAAATTCACACTTTTTCGGGTGAAAAATGAAAATAAAAATCTTAAAAAAAAATAGTTTAAAAATCCAAACCAGAAAACATTTTATAAGTACTTAAATAAACGTAAAATAAAACTGATAACATATATTCAAACTCCAACGGTTTTATTCCAACAAGTGAATTACGTTTTCACGTTTCATTACGTTTCGAGTAACCAAGTTATTCATCACTTTACGTAGTTTGACTACGTCATGGTTAATCTTAGTGTGACCATCTGCAGTGGACCAGAAAATATCCCTTTTTGCAAGGCAAATCCATGTGTTTTCATCAGAAAACAAGGGAAGCACACTTAATTTGCAAAAAAAAAAATTAAAACGCTAAACATATAGATTATATTGGTTTTCTGGCTGAAGCAGCCGTATTTCCGCTCGATTCCGTTCCCGGTCCGTTTCGATTTGGGCGCCGAGAACGCGGCTGAATGATAGCTCTGAGTGCGCTTTTAACCAAATACACGATCGGTATTATGAGCAACTTAAGCAATGGCAACCAACAACCGCTCCAGCAGCAGCAGCCGCAGCAGCAGGCGCAGCAACAACAACAGCAGGCACAGAACCCGCATCAGCAGCAGGGAAACGAGGCGGGCGGAGAGCTGTTTGTGGCTCCGCCGCCCGGTTTAGGCGTTGCTGTGGGCATGGCAGCCATGCAACAGCGCAATCGGATTCTGCAGCAGCAGCAGCACCAGCATCCGCAGCAGCCCCAGAATCCCGCCGCCGAGGGCAGTGGCCTGGACCGAGGAAGTTGCCTTTTACGCTATGCCAGCCAGAATTCGCTGGACGAGAGCAGCCAGAAGCATGTCCAGCGGCCGAACGGCAAGGAGCGGGGCACCGTGGGACAATACAGCAATGAGCAGCACACGGCAAGGTCCTTCGATGCCATGAACGAGATGCGCAAGTAAGGAAGAGGGGGTTTTGGGTTGAAAGTAACTTAAAAGTGGTCAAAAATATGTGAAATCTTGGCGAAATTTCTGAAAATACGGTTTATTTTCATATGGGTAGTGATTCTGGGCTTTTTCAAAGGTAATTTAGGATTATTTTATCTGTTATCAGAGTTGATTTTGGATATATTCCAAGATAAATTGCAATTTATCACCTATTTTCATTTAAAAAAATCTCTAAAATTATTATATATTTATAAATAATATTTAAAACCTCATTTTGATAATCATTTTAACTTAAAGCTAACTTTACCCACTTATATTTGGGTTATTAGAGTTCATTTTTCTGAAGTAAAACCAAGGATTTACTGGTTTTTTGTATTGACTTCTCTGTATTGAACAAGTTGAACAACATTATTACCAAACAATTGTCAAGAAAACGTTCAAATACTACGCAGTTTCCGCAATATTTGTTCACAGAATTAGCGGTGGTTTAACTTATATACATACCTGTTATGGGATAATTGCCTTTTAGACCTAGTTTTTATTTGAAAACTGTTTACCTGCTTTTAGGTTTGTCTCAAATAGCAGATATATTCAAATTGGGTAAAGATTTAGGGGGATTTAGGGGGATAAAGATATTATTGAGTATATTTTCTGGGCTATTTAATGTTAGTTTAGCTATATTTAAAAGGGGTTTTCCTATATTTAAGGATTTCTTTTAATTTATTTTCAGTTTCATTAAGAATATAATCTTTAAATATATACATTTTGAGTTATAAACCATAATGTAACGCCTTTTCAATTATAGTTTAAAGATGACTTGCTTAGAAAGGTTATTTAGCTTAAAATCTTTAAAAACATTAGGCTAACTTTAACCCAATTACTCATGGATA